GTAGAGAAGTTGGCTGCAGCAATGGGTGTGAATGTCCAAATGAGAACATCTGCCTTAAGAAGCTTATTCTTTTAAACTTGCTGATCAAAATATTAATGGTACAAGTAAACACAAGTGCTTTATCTGACAGTAATTTACATTTACAACAGGCTAATCCAGCTATGCGCTGCATCTTTATTCATTACCAGCAACATTTGGTTAACACTTCATGCTCGCCTGCACAGGTGGACAATTTTCTAAGAGTGACTATTGTGTTTATATTATTTTTTCTTAAGCCAGGTTTGAAATTTGTCAAACTGCATCATTGTTTAAATATGTGCCACTCACAGGGAAATTGCCAGATGGAGCAGTTTTCTCCTAACTTTGCTCCAGGCAATGAAATTACACATGGGTTGCATATTATGTCAAGTATATTTTTTTCTAAACCTGCCCATGAATAGGTATGACTATGTGCATTCACAAAATCTGGCTTTCTAACACCACTAATTTTATATGAAGGCTCGTGCCAATAGTAAATAAAGTTCTCTGTCACTCACTAAATAGGTGCCCATAATTTATACATTTAAGGCCAGGGTACCCCCTCCATGCAATCAAATGGTAATCGCTGGTTTACAAGAGTTACTGTTTATACAAACTCTAAACGGGTGTTAAACAAAAAAATATATAATGTAAAATAACTAAAAAGAAATCAGTTTTGAGTCATTAATCATTGTGCCAAATGAAATCCCCTCAATGCCAAATCAAATTTTTCCACACTTCGTGCATTGCCTTTCACAGTGTCGAACCCGGAGATGCTGATAAAAAAAACAAAAAAACGGGAGCAAGCTATGTCATCTTTGCCCGTAAAATGTCTGATTATGATTGAAAATAGATTGTAGTATTTGCTGAAGATGTCACTCCTGTGACATTGAAGAATACATACAATTATATACTGATTTCATTTTTTTTATTAAAGGAACACTCCATAAAGCAGCAGTTGTTTACATATGAACTGTATGTAGCGGATGGTACTATGGCTGTCCTAAAAGACTGTGTTAAAACTGTAATTTGTGTGTTTATTTTCCTATATAGTTAAAAGTGTATGTAGAATTCGTATGATTGTTCGGTAGTTTAATCTGTATCCCATCCGAATGAAACTACCGAACCAGTAGACCACCCCAGAGAGAAGTGTGCACCTTATTAGGCTTCACACTGCTCTAACCACATGTTAATTGATACTTTATGTGTGTATTTGGGTGGCTGCCATTCAGCATACGAACACGTGGCGGCGGCCATCTTATGCACGAACTCGCAGCGGTGTTTGGGCGTCGAGTATCTGGAACTCAAATCGGACACTCAATTACCCGAACACCGCTGAGACCTCCAGAGCTCCATAACTCCCAAACGGAGAGGCTAATCAGCCCCCCGTTTGGTGAGTTAAAAATACCGAGCAAGGGGATTCCTGCGAATGCAAGATTAATAGTGGATGGCATGTAATTATGTGTATTTTGCCTCCCGAATGGAGACCGACCGCAGGGCCAAAACCCATTGGAACCCTTTTTCGGCTACCACCTCATGTGCGGTCGGTCAAATTGTCTCTTCCACCTAACTCCCGAACCCCTGGTCTGATCTGGGTGAATTTTGGATATGTTTGTCACCCAGATCAGGGCTACCAGGGAGTGCAACTTAGCCCATTGTACCTAGCTGTTTTGGGGTACATCCAGAATTCGGGGAAAAGTACAGCATGAGAGGGCGGAAAGTGGAGGGGGAGAAAGGGAGGAGAGAGTGGGAGAGAGAAAGAGAAGAAAAAAAAGAGGGGGTGGCGTTGTCTGGATTATGTGTCACACTGAGGGGAGGAGATATGTGGGAGGTAACTGTGACATTATTGGCTACTGTCTTAATTATGGTGAATCCCTCCCTTGCATGGGAGAATGCTTTATAAGGAGGTTGTGTGGATTAAAAGATCAGTTCTGCTCCTGATGCTGTGTGTCGTCCAGTCATTGGGATTGGTGTTGGGATATTGTGGGATTGTTTTGCCTGCTGAAAGCCTTGCCTTATGGATTTATAATACTTGTTCCTGAGCCTCACTGGGATCTTAAGTGGAGATAACCTGTCGAATATCAGCTCTCCGCTACAGCTACACTGTATGTTCTACCTGCACTTTTGCAAAGCTCCTAATTTGCACCCTTTCAACTGTGAATCGGACAGCTGGTAGTGTGATCTTCCTTACTCTCTTTGAATACTCACTCAAAGCAAAAGTGGGAGATTTTCATTAAAGGGACACTATAGTCACCCAGACCAATCAGCTCAATTAAGTGGTCTGGGTGCCAGGTCCCCCAGGTTTTAACCCTTCAGAGAAGTGTTAGGTTGACCAAGAAAATCAACACTAATGAGGATCTCTCAGCACTCTGTAGTAGCTATGGTGCTTGGAGTGTTCTTTTAAGAGGTTCCTGGTTCTACTGAGTAATACCATTTCCAGATATGCTCACCTTTGGATTATAAATATGCATGGGTGATGTATTGTGTATGTGCTCAAGGAAATGTCATATGTACTATGGCCAATTGTTAATACAGACAAGGCATCATTCTATATGGACTAGACGCAAGCATAGGCAACCTTCAGATGTTTTGTGCAAAATCCATTTTTAATGAGATCAGTTCAGGAAAAATTTTCCCACAAGGGATGCAATGTGTACTCAGTACACAGCATACATAGAAGTGTAAATTTAGCAGTGATACAGTAACTTATGCCTGTGCAGAGGTGGATGATGTGCTAAAGCAGTTGTGATTGGTTTTAACAAATTAAACTAGTTGCCCGCGCAGGGGAGGTACCGCATATGGTGTCAGCAGTCGTTGTGGTTTGCCTATATTGATAATGAACTTTTTTGCTGTGCCTCCCACCCCCTTCTCATCTGTGAATGCAGTGTGCTAACAGTACGGCAAGTATGAGCAGGTATTGGTGTTGTGGTTTGTGATGAGTAGCGTGGTAGCCAGTGTTAGCGGTACGCTTGCATGGGTATGTGATGGGTTTGAGCAATGGGAGCGTGTAACGTGTCGCGGGGTTGGTTAGCTGTCCCCTGGGATTGTGCGGGGTGGAATGTGTGGGTTCCCCTCTGTGAAGTATGACGGACTGCTCCAGTTGTGGGTTATCCCGTGGTGGTCTGGAGGGGCGTGACGTGTCTGGGTTTTAAGGTCGGTTGCGAGAGGGCGGAATGTGGAGGGGGAGAAAGGGAGGAGAGAGTGGGAGAGAGAAAGAGAAGAAAAAAAAGAGGGGGGTGTCGTTGTCTGGTCTCAAGCATGGAGGGTGGCAGGGGGGTGTACCAGCATGTGAAGACTTTACTGCAGTCTTACTGATCCTGGGGTTTTCCTGCAGTCTTGGACGTGAGTGATGATTTTGTCCCATTCTGCCCATTGTCTGATGCAAGGTGGTGCTAGAAGGTATCGACCCCTCACCAGTGAGGCGTAAATAAAGGAGATTGGAATTAGTTGTACCATTTCCTGCAGGCAGAGAGAGTTGCAATCCATTCAGTCTCGAAGTTGGCAGGGTTTTGGGGTGATTGAGCGGACAAAGTGCAATATTTGTTCTCTTGCCATTAAGTGTAGGAATGTGTGTTGTTGTTCTGGGAAGAGGGCAGTTATCGGGCAGACTGCGAATGGTTTTGATAGCACTTCAGCTATGCGGAGTATTGTGTTACAGTTCGTCAGGCATGGGAGAGGCCCCTGGTCTCCCACCAGGAAGTTTATCTTACCTCTCAGGGGGAGCATGGGGCTAGGGTCTGTCGTAAGGTAGTATTCGGTGCTGTTTTGGTGCCAGATATGGAGTGTGGCTTTCACAAACGGGTTTGTAAGGTGGAATTGTTTACTCGCTTCTTTCGTGATCCAGGGCAGAGTTAGGAGATCGCAGTTGGTGCTGTTTGTCTCCAATTGCCCCCATGGTTTGTGGCATGATGTAATGGACCAGCTGATGACTCTTGTGAAGTGGGCTGCTAGGAACACTCCAGATGTTTTGGACTGCACCTCCCTTGATGCTTTGCCAGCATTATTGGTGTTAGAGCATTATGGGGATGTATTCCACAACATCTGGAGTGCCGAAGGTTGCCTATCCCTGGATTAGAGAATAGGAAAATGACACTATATCATGACATGTCTGGACATGTCATTAGTTCTTAAGGAATTAAGTGGATATACCAACAAACTGGAACAAAGTTATATTTCAACTAACTTTTTTTTTTCATTCTTTATTTTTCTTGTGCCTGAAAAAATATAACAGGCATTCTTGCTGTGCCCCAACAGCAGTAGCAAGTGCGGTAAAAGACAAAGCAAGTAGGGTATTTCAAGATTAAACAGGCTGTATTGGGTATGTCTAGATGTGTGCATTTGTGTTGGCTGAGACTGTCTGACTAGCATAATCAAGGCATTCAACAGAACTGTGTATACGAGTGGAGGTAGCCTATCTAGACAGGTAAGATATTGTGTAGTGCACAAGCTTGAAAATTTGTAAACAGATAAGTTGTAGGTATAAGCATGCTTGGTAGGTCTGGCTGGTTTAGCAGTCAAGGGTGCAGAGTGAGAGTCTCAGGTGCTGGGTTTGACTGCCTCCCCTGCGTTGGGCGTCCAGGCATCTGGCACACCAGTCCAGTGAATCTAAGGGGGGGTCAGGATGCTGGGGAGATTCTTATAGTGTCATCTAGGAGGCTAGGATGTGAGACTGCCATCCTACATGTGTTGCTAGGGCTAATCTTATGCCTGGGGACCTTCCTGTGACACCAATAATTTTCCGACTCCTAACCTATGGGAGCCTCAGGGGGAGTGAAACATGTAGGGACCTTCATGGTTTTGTGGCATAAGCTACTGTCGATGGTAAGGGACCTACTGTGCATTCCATCTGTGCCTGGGTATGGCTCAAAGTGTCAAAGTCATGTGTTCAGTGTACTAACGAGTGTGTGTAAAATGTGTGTGTAAGATCATTAACTTATTAAAACATTATAAACTTTATAACTGCAGTTTCTTAGAAGAACCTTTCAGGTGGCTGCCCCCAGTCTTTCTCCGTAGCGTGGCATGAACGGGACAGACCTAGCAGGGTCCCATCTGTGGAAGTTGGAGGGTTCCGCAGTGTGCATGGGCTGTGGGGAGAGTCCCGGTGAGCGCAGGAAGGAGGGAGCTTCCATTAGAGAGGTCAGTTTCGCCATGGCCCCGTTGTGGACTGCCATCAGAGATCTCAGTGTGCCCCATCGGTCCGTCGGTGTGACCACGGGCATGTCAGAGCACGTGGAGTAGACCTCCGGGTCTGGGTTGGGAGATGCTCTCTTGGCCGGGGTGCGTTGGAGCAGGACTCCAATATCGCAAGTGTCCTTATTCCCGCTTGTTTGTGGCTTTTGGGATCGACGGCCCATCTTGTTGACACTGTACTGATGATTCGTTGTCGGGACTCGGCTTAGGCTCAGTGCTTCCAAGGTATTTACCCAGTCAAGCATGCAGGCTTTGGCATGCGGAGGAGTGTGGTAGGCCCCGGAGCATTGGCGTGGTTTCCTGCCCATCGGGGTATACAAGAAAGGCATGTGCCGGTAGCTCTTTCCTTCGGGGATAAAATGTTTGTGATTTAACACCCTGATGGCTCCCTATGTTCAAGCTTTTAGGCCGATTAGTCGCTAGCTTGTGGGAGCTCGTGGAAATGGTGTCCATGCGGGTCGAGTGTATTTCAACTAACTTTATATACGGAGCAACTTGCAAGAAAAAAAATTGTCTACATTTCTCAGTAAAAATGAGCATTTAATGTAAACATTTTTTGGGGGGTTAAATCTATACCGAATCTTCCATTCTTTATGAAGCAATCTCAGGAGAATATTGCAACAAACATGTTAACGCTATTTTCCCAGCCATGACTGCCAAGACACAAAGTTTTACATAGTGTCAGAACATAGTAAATATGTTCTCCTGTGCAATTTCAGGAGATAAACTAATCCAAAAAATACCCATTGGCGTCATAAGGAAAACATTTTAAAACATTTAATACTGCATAATGTTTAGTTTCCCAAAATGTTACATATTCATTTCCTAAGCCATGCTATTTCATTCTGATTTTACATAAAATCCTACAATAAATAGTCTAATTACATATATTTTGCTGACTGTGCTTGTACCAATGGCATGATGTTGAAGTGAAATGAGTATCAAGTTATGGTTCATATTTTATTCATCTATAATAAATTCAACGCTGATGGAGTGAGGATGTATCTGAAATTTTTTATTATACAGGATAAATAGCTACATATTCTGTTACCTTGCACCAATACAACACTAATACCACCAGAAACCAAACAGTTAGCCCACTGAACACAGAAAAACCTTACTTTTAGTAATCCATTCCGAGGTAATGTGAGTTATATATAGTTACATAGTTACATAGTTACGTAGCTGAAAAGTGATATGCATCTGTCCAGTTCAGCCTTTCTTACATTAGTTTTGCTGTTGATCTAAAAGAAGGCAAAAAAACTGTCTGAAGTGCTTCCAATTTTGCAGTTAGATACCTCCTTGTATCAAGAAGCTATCACCCTACTAATTAAAAATGATATCCCTTAATGTTATGTTTTTGTATTTATCCAATTACTGTTTAAGAATCTGTATTGACTCTAATAAAACCATTTCTTCAGGCAGAGAAAACCACATCCTTATTGTTTTTACTGGAAAAAACTTTCCTTTGTCTTAGACTAAATCTCCTTTCTTCCAGTCTAAATTGTGTGACCCCATGTCCTGTGTAAAGTCATGCTTATGAATAGATATCCAGACAATGACTTGTATTGGCTCAGAATATATTTGTATAAAGCTATCATATCCCCTCGGAGGCGCTGTTTTTCCAAACTAAAGAGATTAAAAAAACAAGTTAAGTCATCATCATTTAGCCAAAATAGCCAGTGGAGGGCAGAGAGTGATAAACAAATTTAAGTGAGGCCAAGAAGAAGGTATGGTGGATCCAATACTTAACAAAGGTATGTCTCACAAAACAAAAGAGTTCCGTAACTCAGGTGTCCCCATGTGGTATTGATGTGCTACTACTTGTTGCTGGTACAAAATAAGGGATGTTGTCCTCATCCCAAGCTGGTGAGGGTAAAGAATGTACCCTTTGGGGGTGTGCAGGAACCTAGGCACATCTCAAACATCAATTGGAAAATATGATTTTTAAAGAATGTTTAAAGACTTTGTGGGAGGATTACCAGGATTTGGTTAGCACTTAGCAGTACTATTTTTCCTACTTCATATTTATATATATTTTACGGGTGTTGATGTTTTGAGATTTGTTTGTGTTTTTTTTTTTCATTTATTGAGCCTTGTAATTAATTAGATTATTATTATTTTCTACTATTGCCAAGATCATAATGCACTGAAATGTTAAACCTTGTAAAATTATTTGTCATCTAGTAAATACACATATGCAGAGTTGAGATGCTCATGATTCAAACTTTTAAGAACATTTATTCAGATTTGAGTATCAGACCACTACATCTCAATAGCCAAAATATGTATCTATGCACTATGCATTATCACTGGCAGAGCCATTGTGATTGAATGTCTGTTACAGAGAATCAATCTATTCAATAGCCATTACACAGAGCAGAAAAAAAAGGCAGCAACGTGCTGAGTTCCCACTGGTTAATGGTGATACCTGCTGATTTTTTATGGCCCGTGATTCTCTTTACATGGCGTAGGAAATACTTAGAGAAATTATATTTCTGACTCCTGATAATTTTTATATCTGTTTATTATATTGATCATTATGGGTACAATTTTCTCACTATCTGTTAAATTGTAGTGGACTAAAAAATATATGGCACAATTTAAGCTATTGGAGTTGGAACTTTTTTGGCCTAAATTTTGCAATTCACTACAAGACACTGTTTATTATTATTATTTTATTATTTATATAGCACCATCAGATTCCATAGCGCTGTACAATGGGTGGGATAACCTCACTGAGTATAGTGTTGTGCATAGTGCTGTATCATTTTTGGCAAACATTTTTATGTTTTCATTTTAGCAACATTCAGTTTTATTTGAAATCAGGAGGATTTAACCCATGGATATAGTGGTGAGGCATGACATGATAGGACATGGCACATCAATTGGCTACTAGGACAGCTTGTGTATAGATTGTAGGCCATGTTTTAATACACTAAAACTGGAGTAGTCAGGGACCTCTGCAGTGATAATATTGTGGTAATATAATTATAATAATTGTAATTCTTGCCTATTTAACATTCCTATATGCATAATATAAATATATTTTTATCGTATTTTTATTGTAAATACCAGAGGAAACATGGTTTAATAGCCTAAAGTGGGCAATATCATATCTGATAGCAACACTTCATGTTAAACAGAGACTTCATAAATCAATTCGAAAAATCACTTCTTAGCATGAAAGCCACATTTTACAAATCAAAGTATTTAGCTTTCATGTCTAGATCATGCATATTGAAAAAATGTTCATTTTGAACTGCAGCTGCTACAAGCTGGTAGATATTTGAATGTTTGAAAAGTGGGAGGTAGTTACGTTTTATCAACTGTTCTTTATATACCTTTTCTTGAATTGTACCTTATATTATAATATGTCAAAATTACTTATGATTGTGGCTATTACACAAAGATGATTTAATGGTCTAATAAAGAAACCCACAAGTCTAAACAGATATTAAGCCACGCGCACAATTCTATATCACAATTTTCCATCTGAATAAAGCAAACCTGAAAGTTAATAAGAGAAGAAATAAAATATATTTAATTACAGTCCCTCGGATATGTAAGTTTACATAGCCACACCATTTTAACCTTTTCTGCAAAGGGTTAATGGTACAGTGGAGCTCACTGATGTAGTCAACATTTATGTTAAACGAGACAATATGTATACTAGCAAGGAAATAAATCCTGTGACACAAAAGATGAATATAAATACAAATATATATACTTAGAAATGGGTACCACAGGATACCTAAAACAGAAAATACAAAGCAACATAGTGTGAACCGTAAAAAAACATATATATATATAGAGAGAGAGAGAGAGAGGGAATGGGGTTGGAGTTTCACTCACATGGTCCACAGCCATCCAAGGCTCTTTATTATAGGCTTTAAGGTGCCACAAATGGCTCAACGATCCAATAACCCCAAGGTACTTAAGAACTTTATGATGAATCTACAGTATTTAATAAAAAACTATTTGTTTGGAAAAATATAAACAAACAGGCAGCAGTATACTAAAAAAATGGGTACTAAAAATAAAATGGTAGTGGGAGTTCAACAGTATAGTCCGCAATGGGTATCACACACCACCTACTAGTAACCCAGAAAAATATATATATAGATATAAAGTGCCTGTAATGAAGTGCAGTCATCAGACGCATTTCGGCAGTGTAGCCTTCTTCCAGTGCTAATGTTCTAGTGTGCTTCCGTCGGTTATATAGTGGTTTCCATCATTAGTTCATATGTCTTCAATTTCCTGTAATTCCGGCCAGCCGCAACGTTGTTTCCGGCTCCTCTTAATGACGTTGCCGGATTTTGGAACGCAACGTCTAAGGCTTTCCCTTATGATATAGTTCTAATCCGTTTCTCGATCTAAGTCTTCCTCCAGCCATCAGAGTTCGTGTTAGAGTGCCTTAGAATGTCCAGTTCTCCATATTAATAATGGGAATGCATAAAAAGTTCTTAAATATGATAAAGGGCATTTTCATTATGCATTACAAAAAAATAAACAATTATTATATACCTTCTTTGGCGGAGAAAAAGAGGAATATACATTTAAAAAGGCATAATTTTCAATAAAATAAATAAATATACAGTGAATAAGATGCATATAAAAAGCATATATCAAAAGGCATATTTTGAAAGGCCTCTTTTGAAATAATATTGCATACATTTATATATATACATATATATATATATATATATATATATATATATATATATAAAATATTCCACACACAGCATATAAAAATACATAATATACTGTATACAAGATATACTTATATAATAGTAAGGCAGAAACAATGGAGAGAGTTGTAAAATCCATATTATGTAAAAAGGTCCAAAAGTTAAAGTACAAAAAAATTACAAAATTAAAAAAATGTGCAAATTCAAAATCTAGATTAGGACCACTTGAGAAGAGCATATTTAAGTTAAATATCCATTCACTTTCCACTCTTGCCAATTGTTTAAAATTATCCTCCCCTCTCCAGTGTTTTTGTCTCTTATAAACCACCATGTTTGGATTCCAATATTGTTGAATGGGTAAGGCAGTGGCTGAGTGACAGGCAACAGAGGGTTGTAGTTAATGGAATATATTCGAAGCTTGGACTTGTCACCAGTGGGGTACCTCAGGGATCTGTACTTGGACCCATTCTCTTTAATATTTTTATTAGTGATATTGCAGAAGGTCTTGATGGTAAGGTATGTCTTTTTGCTGATGATACTAAGATATGTAACAGGGTTGATGTTCCAGGAGGGATAAGCCAAATGACAAATTATTTAGGTAAACTAGAAAAATGGTCAGAATTGTGGCAACTGACATT